CGTGACCAGCATCATCGATTTCCTATTTGGAGTTGTTTTTCATGCTATTTTTAACGAAAAAAGCGTTCATTTGGGCACCTGCAGGAAATCGGCTTTCCTTACCAAACCTCGCAATTTTTACTCCATCCTGGTCCTGAGGGGCTTCAGATCTTCGAGGGCAGCCTTAGATGATGCTTTTTGACCTTTGTCCCCATAAAAATTTTCGGCAAATGAGTTTTCGATCACGCTGATCATCGGGACAACACTTGTATCAGTGCAGAAATGAAAATAAGGCCAGAAAATAAAATATTTAGAAAATTGGATTTTTAGCCTTTGATCGTTGTAAGAGAATAAAAGTTTTATAATTCAACCATTTTACACCCAAACTGACTCAACTTTTTAGAAAGTGTTCGAAACAACTCACAGATACAAAATCAAATCCAAGAGATAGTCCAGAAGTCTGCTTACCTGCTAAGGTTTTGGATACGGTTTCTGGAAAAACCTATTTTGTAACAAAGACCTAAACTACAAACTTGAGTCAATTTGGACGTTAAATGGTTGAATTATAAAACTTTTATCATAAAATTATAAAACTCATTTGCCGAATATTTTTAAGATGATAAAGGTCAAAAAGCATGAACTAAGGCTGTCCTCGGAGATCCGAAGCCCCTCCAGGACCAGGATGGAATAAAAATTGCGACTTTCGTGGATTTGTAGATGAACGATTAGTTGTTCGAACTCACTAGAGAGAGTTAAAAAAGACTTTTTCTGACCTTTTTCGAGACCTATCTTTGAAAGACTCGCAAGGCTTACCACCTGTAGGTGGTGTCTGGGACCGGACTTCAACATGGGTTTGTGGCAATACTTCCAGAATCTGAAAACCGCAGGTTTCTATATCATCTCTGTAAAAGTTATTCTCAACGCAACTAAGTGTACCGTGTTCTTGAACGGATAGTAACTAGGCCTACCCACTGAAAAAGAATCTCGTTAGCTTTGCGATAACTCACAAAGAAAAGCAAAATTGCGTGAGATTGATTCAAAACACGCGCGGAAAAGAGAAATTCTTCAATTTCGTTCTAAAACACCTGAGAAATTTCCTCTTCGTGATCTCGTATACTAATGGCATCTGAGAAAACATGAACGATAAACTTTTTTCTCGGGAGAATCACTGTTGAATCTCTCGCGAAATCATGCGAAGGAATTTCCTTGAATAAATCATTGGAAAACTGAATTCTTTTCATTTTCACTGCTTTTTTCGCATAAACTTGAGAGAAAATGAAAACAATCTTCCAGTTCTTATTACTTTTCCTTTTTCACCATGAAGGAAGGATTTCCAAACATTGCATCTAGAGAAAAAAATGTTAGAAATTAAATTTCGCATACAATTGTCCCAGGTTCGACTCTGAGAAATGCTTCCTTCATGGTAAATGATCCTAGTTACACTAATTTAATTAAGCTTTTTCAATTCACTAATTAATCCAGAACAGAACAAAAGTATATATCTTTAGTTGTGTGTTCCTGTGGTACAGTGGCGTACGGAGAATAAGATTACTATCCGTTCCAAAATACAGTGCCGGTGGTTCCCTTTTGAATAACTTCTCACAGGAACGAGATGGAGACGTGCGGTTTCCACCGATAGAAAGAAGACACTTGAACATGTCTTTTCATACACGGAAGCAACTTTCGGAAAAATTTCTCAACTTGGTTTTTCAGGAGATCTTTGGAAAAGCAGATCAGAACTCCCGAAAGTCGTATAAAAACCCAATCGTTCTTTTACATGGCTATGTACACAAAAGTGTCCTCTTCAAAATGGGAGTCAAGCGAGCTCGTGAAATTGCATGGTTTGGTAAGGAAAGCCGATTTCCTGCAGGTGCCCAAATGAACGCTTTTTTCGTTAAAAATAGCATGAAAAACAACTCCAAATAGGAAATCGATGATGCTGGTCACGATGGCAATGTCTATTTCCTTATCCCAGATTATGCACAGCCACTAAATGAGGTGCGGTGCACCCATCATGTGATCAGTCGAAGAAGAGAAAAGAAAATTCTTTTTCTCAGCTCGACTACAAAAGGTATGATCACTGTTTAAAGTTATTTATAAAAACAGTCAACAGTATTATTATCGACTTTACACTGTTCACAAGGAGAAATACATGAATGTTGTGGACATACTAAAAAGGTATCCTTGAAATACTGACAAACAAAGTTCTCGCTATTCAGCTCTCTTACGATCATAATAATTTAGAACTTAGAATTTTATTTAAAGGTTAATTTCTCTTCGTCTCTTTCAGCATAATTAGGATTGTTTGGGCTTCTTTTTCTTTTATAAAATTAGCAGTATGTATGACAGAATGTATATATAGCTATCATGCAGGCAAATAAAAAAGTTAAGAGTGACCATGTCTATACATAATACACGTGTCTGTGTCAAGTATAAAGAAATATATAGAACCGTGTTCTCCTCATTCTTATTACACCATGTCTCATCATGATAATAAATGACAGCATTCGATGTTTGTAATTCGTCCAGTTTACGCAAGTAAACAGCTCGCTGAGCCTGGAAAGGTGTAGCATCAGTAATACAGGAGCTTTTCGTGTCTGACTATACTTGAAGGTTAAACGCTTCATTTCTCTATGTAATGACGTTTTAGATTTAATCGGAAAATCTGAGTCTTGTGATAGTAATGTCGATAACATAATTTCCAAAGTAGGATAAATTCTGTCTTTCAATAACATATGAAAAGTAAGTCGAATTGTGTCGCTTTGCAGTTCGGTGAGAACAACTTTGCGACGACCAAAGGTCATGTCAACCCGGAGGCCATATTTTCTGTAGGTGTTGCCAATCTCGGACTAGTGCGGTTTTGTTGCCCATAGCCGACTGAGGGGATCGGCACTAGTTTGGCTCCGACGTATGGCCGACACTCCAGCAAAAACAATTAAATTAAAATTTGCAGCAAAATAAACGAGAAAAATAATAAAAATTAAGCACTGACGAGTTTCGAACCTCGACACTCGCTTATCGTGGGCGCAGTGTTTATCCATTTTGCCAGATCTATCAGTTGGCCGTTTTGAATAACTCGACCCTGTTTCGCTCAATTAAGTTAAAATATAGGTTTTTAGGTAAAAACCGATGCTAAACCCGACGGAAATGGTTTCAAAAGCTTTTCGGTTTTTTGAAAGTGATTTTGTAAAAAAAACGGGTCTCCGGGAAAACTCTAGAAAACCTATTTTTCCAAAAACCGTACAGATCTAGAGAAAATTGAAAATATGGATAAGATATAATAAACTAAACTATGGTACTTGAGATTCATCTATTTTTTCATGTTGTTTTACAGCTTGATATTGATCACAATTGCGTGACCCAACTTTAAATCGAGCATCAGTACC